ATATATATATATATATATATATATATATATATATATATATATATATAATACCCCCATATATTGACTCCAGCCCAGGGGCCCCCATCCTGACTCCAGCCCAGGGGCCCCCATCCTCCTAAATCCGGCCCTGGTCACAGGGACTGTGATGATATGAGCGGCCAGCCTTAAGAAATAAGGTGGAAGTTCATCTGGACCTGCAAATTTTTTAGGATCAAGATCTTTTTAACAGTTTATTTACCTCACTAACTGAGAACGGAAAAAAAGAGAATGTGCGATTAATTGAGGATTGACTTGTAGGAGGGTTTTTGTAGAAGTTTGGTTATTAAGTGAAGTGGCTGATTTTCCATTAGTAACTGTGTCAAATAAAGAACTAGAAGCAACAAAATGTTTGTTGAAACAGTTCAGGATCTTGTGCTTATTTGACACAGGAACAGAGTTAATGAGATGTTGTGATGGGAGGTCAGATGATTGGGGGCTGCCTGAGAGAGATTTGATGGTTTTCCAGAATCTGTTGGGGTCATTTAGATTTCTGGAGGTCTGAGATAAGAAATAGTTGCGTTTTGAGGCTTTATAAACAATATCACGGCCATCACAAACCACTGCATCGACCTTTCCGCTCTAACCCTGTCAGAAAAACAAAGAGTCACTAATCTGGGCGTGATAATGGACCCTTCCCTGAAACTTAACAGTCACGTAAACATTATTGTTAAATCGTGTTTCTTCCAACTGAGGCGGCTGTCTAAACTGAAGCCCATATTGTCCAAAAAGAACCTGGAGACAGAAATACATGCATTCATTACATCTAGGCTTGATTACTGCAATTTGCTCCTGTTTGGTATCAGTCAGACCTCCATTGCACGACTACAACTGGTCCAGAATGCAGCAGCCCGATTTTTAACCAGTACAGGCAAAAGAGAGCACATTACACCAGTTTTGGCCTCACTGCACTGGTTACCGGTTCACTTTTGAATCCAGTTCAAAATACTCATGTATGTCTACAAATCACTGAACAGTGTCTCCCCCCCCCCCCCATCTCTCTGATTTGCTACAACCGTATGTCCCACCACGCTCCCTGAGGTCAGTGGACCAGTTGCTCCTCACAGTTCCAGGAACTCGTCAAGCGCAGAGGTGACAGGGCCTTCTCTGTAGCAGGACCAAGACTCTGGAACGAGTTACCTCTGCTTGTCAGACAGGCCCCCTCCCTCTCGGTTTTCAAGTCCCGTTTAAAAACTCACTACTATTCAATAGCTTTCAACACAAGATGATCTGTGTTTAGATCCTGTATGCTCTACACTGGTTTGTCGTCATTATCTGCATCGTTTTTTTGTCTATATTCTGATTTACTTCATTTTGTATTTTGCTTTGTGTGTTACCTGTTGTTTTGTCTGTACAGCACTTTGGTTGGCCTTGTTGCTGTTTTAAGTGCTTTATAAATAAAGTGGTATGGTATGGTATATTACAAACAGACAATAATTCAACAAAAAGCAATTAAAATAAAAAAAAAGTACCAGTAGTTTATAAAAATACTACTAATTAGCCAGCTTGGGCATTAATAATACCCAAGCTAGCAAAGATTTTGATGTTGCGCCTTAGTATTGGACAATAAATTGATAATTTATGTGACATTTACAAAAACCATAAAAAACACAAATAAATTGTTGGTTATAGGAAACAAGTATGAACAGATTATTTTACATCAGCACTTGAAGATAAAAAAAATAGTTACCCGTTCCATTATTATTAATGTTCTTAGATGGGGTATTTTATATTTTGATGATCCATCTCTTACCTGCGTCGTCCCAGTGGTCCTCCTCCGTGGGGTGTTGGACGCAGTGGACGGCGTCTCCCTGCTGAGGCTCCTCTCCTGGCTGCGACAGTGAGGAAGACTCTGAGCCTGCAGGGCCTTGAAGGACATAGCGCCCATGGGATGGCAGGACACTGAGCGAGGACACACAGGCATGGCTACAGTGATGTACGAGGTGGAGGCAGGGAGGAGTGTTTTAAAGGAGGTGTGAATCGGAACGGTGGTGTGTGGAAAATCAGCAAGGATTTAATAAAAAGGATCAGATGATCAGGAAGACAGAAAACAACAAGGAGGAGTTTAGATGAATATTAAGGAAAGAGCCATGGATTTAGGAAGGTTCAGTGAAGGGTTTAGAAAAAGTGAAGAGATGATGTTTGATAGGAACAGAACAGAAGAGAAAGAAAAGTGTTAGTGCTACTGATTAGTAGAAGAGCTGCAAATACACTGAAACCATCTCCTGGGCATAGCTCGACGAAGAATTAAAGAGAAAGAATTAGTAAGCCTAACGGATCAGGTAAGAGAACTTCACACTATTGCTGCAAAGATCTGACAGGTTTAGCAACCCATAAATTTACAATATTTTTCGGACTACAAGGTGCAATATCAATGAACGGGTCTGTTTTCCAGAATTCTAAGGAAAACAGAGTTAATCATGTAATCATTATAACCCCATTATAATGCGCATTAAGCGAAACAAAACAGTCAGATAAGTCAAACTTCATTCAACTCATTCACAATAACCACATAAAATCGGCGCACCAGATTATAGGCTCACTGTCTATTTTTGAGAAAATTAAAGGATTTTAAGTGTGCCTTATAGTCCGAAAAATACGACAAGTGAAATACCCACAAAATGGACAAAACATTATTATTTAAGCAAAACAAACCATTCATTATATTTGACACAAAACAAATAGGAGGACGTGAACATGTAGGTCTAGACAGAAACACAAGGAACGAATTAAAGCATTACTGTAGCGTTAACTGTGTGTAAATAAAGAGGGAATGGCTGAATATGAGCACGACCATTTATTAAGAAAAAAACCTGCTAAATTAAAAAATAAAAAAAAAACTACAGTGAACTGTTGCTCAGTGGGTTAAAAAAATTATGCAAGATGTCAAAAATACAATTTTCCCTAACTTTTAGATACATGTCAAAACATACAAACTAAATGAGCGGCTGCACATTTGGCCTCTTGATTGGTAATATTCTAATTTTTGTAATAGTCTATAAAAGAAAAATAATAATGATGCAAGAAAAATAAAGTTTAAAAGCTAAAGCTGCTTTTGTAAATGAAGGTAAAGAGTCAGGGCAATGCTTTAATACTTCCTGAACAGCTTATTTGTTGGGATGTCAGTGTTTGTGTGTGTGTGTGTGTGTATACAGGTTGTTAAATTAAGTTTCAGACAGTTTAATGCTTTAAATCTGGCTTAATCCTATTAACATCCCAAACTGCTGTGTTCAAGACACTGACGATGTAAATTTTATAAATAATTTTAAATTCATGAGTGAAATATTTCATGTCTACAGCCGACCCCTCCTGAGCAGGGCTGTGTGCACGCTACCTGTTTGCTCTCCGGACAAGCTCATGGCGCTGCGGCTGCGGGCCAGGTAGGAGTGTGTTGGCTGCTGCAGACGGTTCACCACATTGCTCTCCCATGGCGTCAAGGGCAGGTGGCGCAGGCCTGGACACAGGGAACAGCGGAGGTTTGACAGAGGCCATAATTTAAACAACCCACCGATCAGCCCAAGCAGTTAGGTTGTTTGTAACCGCTCAAAGCCTTCACCTTCCCGTCGACCGCACAGCAGTGAAGTTTCACCATGCTCACCACACCCACATGCACCAGACTGGGTATTACATGAAGCAAACACTGTGAAACCAAGTCCAAACAAAATGAGGAAAATGCAGAAAGGAGAGCAATATATGAGAATGATCACACTGCACCTGCATTTTACACAAATAATCTTTATCATCTCATCACACTTACACATTTTATGCAAGCGAGTTGGACGTCTGCCCATAATTTCCTGGTTTCTATTAAAATGTTTAAAAATGATCATGATAACTAGCAGTTTGACCACTTGGGACAGATATCATGCAGCTTTTGCAGTGCTGTGTTAGTTTTCAGGATGCAGGGAAAAGATGGGGGCTGAAAACTGAACTGAATGAGTCATCTGTACTTTCTCTGTTAGACTTAACCGCGTGGCGTTCGTGTGTCTGTAATGGGTTGCAGCTTTATTTAGCAACAAATTAATAATAGTTGCATTTATCAAATTTCCAGCACCAAACGGATAAATAAATCTAATTGTAAAGAGGGTGGTAGTCACTTCTCCAGTCAGGATTTAAATGGTGGACCACAAAACAACAAGATTATCCTCCAGAGGATTATTAGAGAAAGGGGTTACGATGGGACTGTGAAAAAAAAAAAAACTCAATCCCGCTGGTCCAACACAAGTGTAAACATGTGCACGTGTACAGGGAACCATAAATAGTGTAAATATATTAAACGATCACATCATTCTGTAACTAGAGGATTATTGATCAGGATGTTTTCCAATAACAGCATTGTCTTTATAACACCACAATAATATTTTTGGACTCATTCACAGTTTCCAGCCCATGAGCTTTTTGTTTGTCAACATGTCCAACGTACAACGAGAGACCAAGGAGACCTGTGTTTTTGTGCAGCGTGGTCTTCCCCTGATGTAAACGAGGTTTGGACAGAGCTTTGTTTATGACAGGAGTGGAGACTGTTCTCATCTGTAAGCCTGTTAGCAACATACAAACATCAAGAATTATACGACCTAAACGTGAATGTCACACAAAAACCAACATTTTATTAAAACAATATTTAGCATTTTAAGAAAAGTGCTAATGGGAGCTTCCTTTTTAATGTTTGAGAACAAACATCTTATTAAAGCCAGGTACATAAAAAAAATAAAAAAGGTCTCATTTTAGGACGAAACGATTGTTTCTTCCTTAACATATTTGGGTGTAAAAGTGATGAATATGGTTTTACAGCAATTTGTAGTTTTAAAATAACAGTATGATCACAGGAACGATAAAATCAATATAGATGCACAAGTCTTTTCTGTTTCTGCAGATTATTGCACATCTTAAGTGTTTTTTTTTCTTCCTTATATTAAAAAAACAACAACATCCATTTGAGTAAAAACAGACTCAGTTTTTATATCAGAATGATTAAACTCTAATCTGTACATCACAGAATAACCAAGCCAAGTGTTAAATGAATAGTTCAGAGGTTTTGAACTGTGGAAAGGTTATAAACAATATCTTACCTGTTGTAGATAACTGTATACATAGCTTTGGCTTGGAAAAATTTAGATTAATCTGAGCAGATTAACAAGCTAAATGTTAGAGTGGGAACAAGACCAAAGTGGACTGCTGATTTCTTAAAACAACTCCAATCTCAACAATTTCAAGGTGCTTTATGAATAAAAAAAAGCAAAACTGTGAAATTATTGTCACTTTTGTATTCCACAATTATTCTGGCAGGAATATTGTGACATTTTCTCCAGGTAGTTAATCTATTCCATGTAAATAATTGAGGCTTTGGTAGCTCGGTGGTCAGTGTCGTGGTCTTGTAATCCTGAGGTTGCAGGTTCGAGCCCAGGTTGCGTCAGGAAGGGCATCCAGCGTAAAACAATTGCCAAATGTTTCATGTGAGTTCGCTCGCTTTGGTGACCCCTGAAGAAGGGAGCAGCTGAACGAAACTTATCACTTCATGTAAATAATCATGTAACACAAAACTGATTATGATGTAAATATTTACAAAGTGGCATTCACATGAACCGTTACAATAGTTTAGGGATTGAAGATGTTTTAAGGTGGGAACTCTCCACTTTGGTCACAACACCATCCGGACGAGTCATTAACTCATAAATCTGGTCAGAATTAAACCCCGTTTTTCCAGACAGGTCAATTAGAGAAAAATCCACAACAAATAATATATCATGGAGTCATAACCTTTCCACAGAACCCCACAATTAAAAATGGTGCATCCAAAGGCAGATCATGGATGGATCAGTCAAGTTTATTTGATCAAGGACAGCACAATAAACGCTGCATGATAAAAACAAAGCAACCGTTGTTTTGTACGAAGGTTTTATAGCCACAGGCTAATTTGCAAACCCACTCCTTAGTTGGACTTCTTTTAAAAAAACAGCTAAAATAGAATTAATAGGATCATCTTATTGTCTGTTTTTACCTCGGTCTGGTGAGTGAAGGAGCGTTGCGGAGGAGCAGGAGAGGCGCTTGGTAATGATGGGGTCTGGATGTTTGGTTAAATTCATGGTGGACACAGACCTTCTATTGGCATCTAGGATCAAAATCACAGGAATAAATCAATGATGTGCAAAAGGAAGATTTACAGGAGCCAGTACTCTAAAAAGGTTTCTCTACTTTGGTTAATTCAGGTTAGATGGAGGGGAAAGTGTTAGCTCCTATAAAATAAATCTAAAAATATTTGGGAATGAGTTAGTGGTAAATGGGTCTTTAGTCATTTCTAATTGATATGGTTCACTTTAGGATACAACTTCCACTTGGACTGCTATGTGCTATGGTGGCCCTGCCGTGTAAATGAACAACATTTGAAAAAACAGAATTACATTAAGCCAAACCGGAAGTGGTGCTTTTTTTTTCTTCTTTTTTTATGGGTTAATATATTTATTTTTACTTTATTAACAACATAAAACGGAACCATGTACAATAGGGTTACTATTCAGTGCCTTTTGAGTCCCCATGCCATAATGTGGTATATTTTGTTTAAAGGTGGGCTAGTATTTATTTTATTAATCTCATCTTGTACGTTTGACTCCCCTCTACCATAAAACACAACCATATGTGCACAAGATTAATTTATTTAATAATTAAATCTAATTTTAATTGCAACTTGGGTTTAATGTCATGCACCCCTTTCATGCTTCCTGAAATTAAATTACAATTCTAAAAAATAAAAAGTCATTTTTAAAATAATTTGTTAATAGTACCGTATTTTCCGCTGTAAACATCAGAAAACCCAGAAATGTGGACCGGTGTTGTGCCAAAAACCGACTGGCTGTCAAACGGCAGCCGTGGGAGTGTGCACGGGAGGACTTTAACAAAAATTTAACAAGATTAATGCTTAAAAACAATTATTTGTTTGCTCGACTTTATAGTAAAGTTGTGCATCAGTCTAACATTTGCTTAATAAAAGGACTTTACGGTCAAATCAGCTGTATTTCAGAAGTATTCACTGCCTCGGTGTTCTGGGAGCGCACAGAGGAAGGAAACAGAGGAAGGAGGAACGTTGCTCGTTTCTTCAAAAGTTAACAAGAAAAGCACCTAAAACATTTATTTGTTTGCTCGAAATTATAGAAAAGGTGTCTCAGTTGAACTTTTACTAAATAAATGCACTTTAATGGTCAAATTAGATGCGTTTTGCCGGGGTGGTGCAGCGAAATGAAGCTGATGACGGCTGCTCCAGGCAGCGAGCAGAACGAAGGTGGAAGTCTACGGCCGATTGTGTCATTAATAGCTGGTGAAGATTCTCAGTCATCCAGGACATGGTAAATTCAAAAAAGTTCAAGACAAAAATAATAAAGTATAATAAATAAAGTCCAGTTGTTTTTGTCTTGAACTTTTGAATTTGTCATTATAGCCACGTTTACCTATTAAATGATACAACAGCATGCCTTCAACACTGGTTCCATCCAGCGGCTGAAAAATGGTAGTGTTCAATATTTTCAGTCAGAATGAATGAAAACGGTCATATCTCAGCCAAAAATTGGTTTATAAATATGGGGGAAAAAATCCATAAATACGCTTCGTTACGTCGCAGGGCATGAAAATTATGAGAGAAAAAAAAACACAATACAGCAAAAATACGGTACTATTCATAATAGTTCTCATCCAATGATTCTTTTATGATATCAACTTATTTTTTATGCTTAAATTATTAAAAAATAATTTGAGTCCCTGGGTAAACTGCACCTTGTTGCTCTAAAATACCCGTCACCCCCGGTTTGGCTTTATGCAGTTCCATTTATTTAAATGTTCATTTACACCTCAGGGCCACCGTAATACGCAGATCAAAAACACTAACCATGCCACTCATGGTCTAAACTGACACGACACACTGAGCTAAGGTACAGTCCCACTGCTAGCGTTCTAACGCCGGCCAGCTAACGATGATATTCACATTGCGAGGTCATTCCGTATCTGTGGTAGAGACTGAAAGCACCCTGAATGTGCTCCAGCCCAGCAAGGTCGAGCGGATAGAGGAAAGCAGACTCGACAAAACCTGAATCAGGAGGGAAGAGAACAAAAGCAGAGAAACAAAAAGGCCAGGAAGAGGCAGAATTTAAGAATGAAGAGGAGAGAAAAAGAAGAAGAGGTGGAGAAAGGTGTAAGTAGTAACAAGAGAAGGCAGCTGATCTGAAAATAAATAAACATGGCAGAACATTTTTGACACACAGAGGCAGGTAGACACGTTTTTATATAACTCAATATTAGACGAACATCAGGGAGATGTCTCACACAGCATGAGGCGCTGCAGATGTGCTGAAAGTAATAAAAAAGCCTCTGGGAGAGTTCAGAGTGTTTGTGCAGGAACTGCTTAGTTAAACACAGTTAAAAGTACCGGCTGCTGTGCTGGGAGTGTTTGTGTGCAGTGCTCCTCCCCAAGACCAGCGGTTTTGCTTCGGTTTGGTTTTCTGGCTCCTCTCCAGCGTGCGACGAATCACCGCCTCGTGACGCACCTTCAGACAAAACAAGACGATCATCAGAATCAGGAAGCAGCCACGTGACGTGCCAAAGACTGGAGCATTTTCTCGGTTCTACAAATAAGCACGGTGAGTTTGGTTTAGCCGGTATCAGAGGCCTCTTCCCTGCCTGTTTTTAAATCACTTCCTAAAGTCCAGTCTTCTCCTTGGCTTTCAACACCATCTGAAATGTTGATTTTTAGTTGTGTGGATGTTCATGAAACATCCATTTTTGTTCCGTACATTTTTCTGCATCACTCTCGTTCCACAATTTTTGTGCCATTTCAACAAATCGTATTAAAATGTTCAGCTCTTTCAGGATAATCCTGCTATGACTTTTGGTATTGGTGCAACTTTAGCTTTTTGAAATATTTAGCCTTTTCTACCATTTTTTTAACTCGTAGAAAAAGAATTGAGCTCATTTTACATCCTTCATATTTTTAGATCTGTTTACAACGTTTCACCCCCTTTCACATTTTGTACTATTTCAGTTTCTTTCAGCTTCCTTGTACAAATTTTAACTTTTTTCAGCTACTTTCAGCTATTTTGTGCTCCTTTCAAGTTTTTTCTGCTAACTACAACATGTTTGTACTTTTAACTATTTTCAGCTTGTTATGCTCCTTTCAGCTCATTTTTGCAAGTTTCAGCTTTTTCCACTATTTCAGCTCCTAGTTAGCTGTTTTATGCTTATTTAAGCTTTTTCAACTAATTCCACATTCCGTGCACTCATTTCAACTTTTTCTAGCCTAATTCAGCAAAACTTCTCCACTTCTTGTAATTTAAGCTTCTTTCTGCTTTTTAGCTACTTTACAGCTGTTTTTTTTTTCTAATTTCAGCTTTTTCTACATCATTTCCACTTTGCTCACTTCTGCTACTTTCAGCATAATTGGGTAAATGTGTTCTTTTTGCTTTCTTCTGCTAATTTAAGCTTGTTCTACAATTTTAGCTACCCTTTTTACAATTTTTATCTAATTTCAGCTGTTTTCAGATTACTTCCAAGTATTTTGTGTTAATTTCTTCTACTTTTTGCCCAATTAACTTCTTTCTGCCAATTTCAGCTTGTTATGCTTCTTTCAGCTTCAGCTAGTTTCATCTTTTTTTTTTTTTTGCCATTTCAGCTACTATTTAGCCATTTTTTGGCAAATTTTAGCTTTTTCAGCTAATTTCACTTTGTTAGCTCATTTCAGTTCTTTCCACTTCCTTCTTGCTTTCTTCCGTGGGTTTTGCTAATTTTAGCTTGTTATAGCTGATTTCCTAATTTTTCTGCTAATTTATGTGTAGTTAAACCTAATTCAGTAAATATGTGTTCTTTCTGCTTCTACTAATTCAGTCTTGTTCTTTAATCTCAGCTACTTTTCAGCATGTTTTTAGCTCATTTCCACAATTTTCCAGCAAGTTCTTCTGTAATAAGCATTCACACTGCATTTTTGCAGGAAATGCAATTTTCATAGTTTTATTTTATTTTAATTAATTGACTGATCTGTGTGTGTGTGTTTTTATAAAGTTGTTTTGATTTGCTTTTAAGGCTTTTATTATGTATTGTGAAATTGTGACTGCTGTTGTGTTTTATTGACTGTATCTACTGCATTTTGGTCTTGTGTTGCTTAAAGTGCTTTATAAAAAAGCTGGTATGGTACAGTATCACAGTGTAAACCAGTTTTATCACCACATGACAGAAAAAGTTGAAAATGTCTTTAAGGAATATGCAAGATAATTGTAACTCCACCCTGAGCTTGCAGGAATAGTATTTAATGAAATGTAGCAATGCCATCAGTATTTAATTACGCTCAAAGTTTCTTAAATGTATTCTCAAAAACACAGAATACCATAACAGAGTCCAGTTGGGTTTGCATGATGATGTTATAGTTTGGTTTGAAAATAACAGTTTGTGCATTCTAAGTGAAGAGTGTACACAAGAAATGGAAGAAGTGATCTTTAAGCAAGCCATTAGTTTATAAACTAAAGGTTAAGTTTTGAGTTAAGCCACTGGTTGTCATTATCTTATTTATAAAACCATGACTGACCCTATTTGAACATAAAGTGACCCAAAATGCATACATTTAAAGTTTAATTTTATACATTAATGAATTTCATTTTAAAACCAGCACACATGGTAAGGACTATCTTAAGGACGCTTATAGGCTTAGAGTAACACAAAAATAATTTAATCTGATTTTTATTTACATTAATTTCAAATTTTACCATGGTGTAGTGGTGTTTGTGTAAATATGTACATTATAACACTTAAAACTAAATAAATGAAGTCAACAAATATATAAAAAAATAAAAAATTCTATAACTGAGATTTCTGTTTATTAACCAGTTACGACTCAGTGCCCATGGGCATGTGTATTCCTTTTACATTTAATTATGACATTTAATAATGTTTACATGCTTAATTTTTTTTTTATAATGTTTGTTTGCTTCAAACTGTTGAAAGAAAAAAATTAAAGTTCTTAAACGTTGATTGTTTTATCTTTTTTTTAAAAACAACATTCTAAAATAAAAAATGCTCAACAATATGGTGCTGCTAGGTTCAAGTCCTACTTGGAAGAGCGGAAATATTTTGTGATTACAGGAAGTTATAAGTTGGAACAAATTACTTTTATATGCGGGGTTCCTCAAGGGTCAGTTCTAGGACACCTTTTGTCTAGCCTGTATATGCTACGATTAGGCAAGTCCACAGAAATTTAATGTTGGCTATCACAGATATGCAGATGACACACAGCTATATTTAGCATTGTTCCCAAATGACAACAGTTCAAGTTACTGTATGTGAGTGCAAATAAATAACTGGATGAATCAAAACTTCCTCCAATTGAATTACAACAAAACTGAGATCACTGTGCTAAAGAAAAGAGAACTGCCGTTAGTAAACACCTTGACTCACTGATCAAGTCAAAGTTCAACTACAAAATCTTGGTGTGCTGCAAGATTATTGTCTGACTTTTGGTCATATCCATCACCAAAACAGCGTTTATCAGTATAAAAACTTATCTACACTAAGACGTTTAACATCCCAACCAGACCAGGAGAAGCTCATTTATGTGGTTATATCCAGGAGACCAGATTATTGCAACAGTCTTGTAACTGGACTCTCCCAAAAAACAAACAGTTACAGCTCATTTAAAATGCTGCAGCTCAGGCTCTGACCAGAACTAAGAGATCTGAGCATATAATCCCAGTTTTAAAATCTTTACACTGGCTCCCAGTCAGCAACAAAACATATTTTAAATTTATACTGCTGGTATTTAAATCACTTAATAGTTTGAGACCAGAATATACTGTATTAGTGAAATGTTTATATGAACTAGGGCTCTGAGATATACAGGCACAGGTCAAATAGTCGAGCCAAACATGAGGAAGCAGCTTTTAGCTGTTAAGCCACACACAATATGAAATAAACTGCCAACAGATCTGAAGCTTGCCTCAAATGTGAGTATTTTTATATCGAGGTTAATTTTTTTCTTGTTTCTCAGGCTTATGATTAAGATCTTTTCCATGTTTTTAAAATTAGCTAAATATGGTTTTGTATTTCTGCTTTTACCATTTTTTCTTTTGTTTGATCAATTTTGTTTCTTGTTTTTCATGTGAAGCACACTGAATTACCATGAATTCATGTACCATGAAAGGTGCAATATAAATAAAATGGCCTTGCCTTGTTTTTGACTTTCTCCTTGTTTTGACCAGGTTTTGGGTCACGTTTGGGTCATGTATCCTCACATAATTCTCAACCCCAGAAATTAATCTTTCCTTGTCCATATTTATACTTTCGATTTGAAACGGTGCCACAAGTAAACAAACAAACAAGCAAAAAAGAATTGAAGAGGAAGAACTGCAACAAGAACCAAGATGACCAAGACAGGAGGGTACAAAGAAAAAAGTATAACTTCACGAATGGTTGAAAATAGAGTGGTGCAGGGCGTTGGTCAGCAGCTGCTGCAGGTGTGAGTCATCAATGAAAAACATGGAGGCATAATCTGTGGCGTGCACGCCATACCCCACCTGTGTTTTGCCCTCAAGTTGGTCATTTCCCCAAACATTCCTTAAAACTTTATTAAGTGTGCTAAGAGAGTACCATGTACAATCAGTTACAATCAATAACCTAACTGTAGGCTGAATATATTTGATTTTTTCCCCTCTAAAAGAAGGGATTTGCCTGATTAAATATAAGTTAATAAAATAAGGAAACATCATTCTGTAAATGATGCTGAATGACATCACTGCCAAGACATGTAACAGTTTAAAAAACGAGTTTTCTTAACCCTCCTGTTATGTTGCGGGTCAAATTGACCCACGAACATTATTGCTTTACCTCAGAAACGAACATAACAGGAGGGTTAACCAGTCGTATTATTGATTTATGGTTTAGAAGATGTTTAGAAGCTGTTTATTAAGAATATCAAGGCATGTTTTCATGACCAATAAAACATGCAACTTTGACCGTTTCAAATGGAAACGGTTCCAAAATATTCTCCACATCTGTTCTGTCATTTTGGTTTTTAATTTGTAGCATAACTGCTCAAGCCTATCTATTCTCAGTGTTGTTACACAGAACGTGTGAGGAAAAAGTACCCGATCCTCCTCCAGTTTTTGCCGTCGTTTCTCCTCCACGGCAGTTCGTCTTTTATCCTCCTTCACCCGCTGCTCCTCCAGCCTTTTCCTCCTCTCCTCCAGCTGCTTCTCATAGTGCTGCCTGGCTCGCTCCTCACGTGCCTGCCACTGGGCCTCCTTCACAGCTGAAGCATGCACATAAAACACACAAGAGATATTGTTTTGATTATTATGTGAACGCTTATGAAGCATTCACACTATTGAAATCCATTTTTCTTCTGTACATTGTTCGGCGTGATCCTTGTCCCCCCAGTTTTCAAGCTATTTCATCAATTCATATATCAACTCATTCAGGACAATCCTGCTATGACTTTTGGTATTGGTGCAACTTTTGCTTTTTAAAATATTTAGCATTTTCTGCCATTTTTGTCTCATTGAAAATGAACTGAGTTCATTTTACATCCTTCAAGTCTTTAGGTCTGTTTACAAGCTTTTACTGCTCCTTTCACATTTTGTTCTGGTTCAGCTTCTTTCATCTTCATTGTGCAAATTTAAACTTTTTTCAGCTACTTTCAGCAAATTTCAGCTGTTTTGTGCTCCTTTCATATTATTGCTGCCAACTACAACATTTTTGTGCTTCTTCCATCTTCTTCTGCTAATTTCAGCTTATTTCTGCTAGTTTCAGCTTTTTCTGCTATTTCAGCTACTATTAGCGGTTTTATGCTAATTTTAGCATTTTCAGCTAATTCCACATTTTTTTGCACTCATTTCAAAAATTTTCAGCCTAAATCAGCAAAAATGTGCTCTCTCTACTTTCTGCTAATTTAAGCCTCTGCTTTTCAGCAGGTTTTTTTTGTTGCTAATTTCAGCTTTTTTCAGATAATTTCTGCTTTTTGTGCTCATTTCTGCTTCTTTCAGTCTAACTGGGCAAACTTTTTTCTGCTTTCTTTCTGCTAATTTAAGCTTGTTCTAACTTTTCAGCTACCTTTTTAGCATTTTTAATGCCAATTTCAGCTGTTTTCAGATAAATTCAAAATTTTCATGGTAATGTTTGCTACTTTCAACCTAATTATCTTCTATATGGAAACTTCAGCTTTTTCTGCTATTTCAGCTGTTTTCATGCCAATTTTAGCCTTTTCAGCTAATTCCACATTTTTTTTTAGCTCATTTCAGCTACTTCCTTCTGGTAGTTTAAGCTTCTTTCTGCCTTTTCAGCTAATTTTCAGCTATTTTTTTGCTAATATCAGTTTCTATAGCTAATTTTCTAATTTTTGTGCTCTTTCTGATAATTTACATCCAATTCAGCAAACGTGGTCTTTCTGCTTTCTTCTGCTAATTAAGGCTTGTTCTTTTAATTTCAGCTACATTTCAGTATTTTTTTTAAGCTAATTTCAGCTGCTTTTCAGCAAGTTCTTCAGCAATAAGAATTCAAACTGCATTTTTGCAGGAAATGCAATTTTTCTAGTTTACGTGCATTAGTCAGTTTACACAGGCATGTGAGGGGTCGCAGCATGTGACCAACTGGAGCGCTCAACAAAACAAATCTCGGAGCTCCTTTGATGGAGCCAGACTGATTGACTTCAGTAAAACACGATCAGGATTAAAACACCTGCAAAACAAACAAGCAGCCTTTATTTGTCTAAATCTCCTCTAGGAACAAACTTATAAAAACACATACCCAAAACACCAGCCTTTCTACAACCTGTCCTTTTATGCAACATAAAATCCACAGCAACAGGGTGCCTGGCTTTGACTTGGACTTTATTAACGCCCAGGGAAACCAGCACTTCACCACAGCTACCAAATCATTCCAGCCACAATGTGTTGGGGGAGAAAGCGGGAAGCAAACAAGAAAGTGAGGGATTCATTTAAAGCTCTGTTACACATCAGTTCTCCAGAGACTCCAAGTGAACCGAGAGATTAAAGAATGCTCACCGTTTTGTTTCTCACGCTCCTCCCTGCGCTCGCGGGCCAACCTCTGTCTCTCGTCAATCTTGTTGAAGAGCAACGAGTCTGCAGCACAAACAGTTTAACACAAACATCAGCCGCTCCAAGAGCACGTGGAGAGAAAGAACCAACCGGAAAACTGCAGATACTCTAGTTGTGTGTTTATTTTTCAATGATTTACCTGTTTTGGTTGCAGCATAATTACTTGTGCTTTTGCTGGCGCTGGTGCGGTTGAGAGCGGGGACAGGTGTCCCTGTGGGGGTGTAGGTCTGCCCGGAGCCTGAGGAGCTGGGGCGGGTGATTGTAGATGCTTCACCATCCTCAGACTGATACTGAGAGAAGGACGCTGACAAAAAAAATGTCACAAAACAAAAGTGAAAAAAATAATAATAATAATAATTCAAGAAGCCAGAGCCCATCACTCAAATATAACATTTTCTTGACTCCTCATCCAAAAAGAAAAGTATAACCAGACAGTTATTACAAAAAGTTTCCAAAACAAGCTTGTTCAACAACAGGAAGATGCTGCAGTGCATCTATAAATGTACCATAAAGACAAGTTGTAATCTTAAGTTGTGGTTAAATTTTGGAGAAAAAATTAATTCAGTTGAATTCAGTTCATCTAGCGCCAAATCACAACAGATGTCGTCTCAGAGCACTGAACAGAAACATTCACATACTTTATAAAAGCCCATTAGTAAAAGATATTTATCTAAGGAAGCAAACAGATTGTGTTGAATCCACTTCATCACAGTCTCCCATCCTGAGCAAGCACACTGGCAACAGTGGAAAGGAAAAACTCCCTTCCCATCAAGTTGCTTGTTGAAGTCCCACTGTGTGCAAATGATCAGCGAGTCGTGTGGTCGTGTTTTAATCAGCCAGGTTTTGACAATCAGACTATTTTTATGTGAGCAAATAGCAAAATTACATTCTTGGCCTTGCATATTTTTTATTTTATTGCCCACATCATAGCCATCTCGGTTCATTTTGAACCAAATTTGACCCCCCCTTCCCCTCCATATTTTGATTTAATCTACTGTAGTGCACTTTTTAAATGAAGATGGACAGCTTTGAGTTTGTTTTTGGTGGCCTTTACCTGGACATTAGCCTCGGATGTTTTCTGTCATGCTCACAAAAAAAATTCAAGTGACAGGACTGCACATCTCTGCAACTGAAAAGCAATGTGATCGTTGCAAGACATTCTATAGACTCCCTTGTGAATGCAGTTCAGTGATAAACTTATATATTTTGGAAAGGTTCATCTCACAACTTTGCTGCATTGACGTTATATTTTTCACAAGCCCAAGACAGAACACACATTTAAACAGCCGAACTTTAACCAGTCAAAGTCAAGGATGGACTGTAAGATCAGCTCACATAATCACAGTGTGAAAATTAAAACTGTTTTCTACACAATTCCTCATTTTATTTCAAATAAACACTCCAAAACTTGTCCTTTCTGCAGTTCATTTATTAGTTACACTAAATACAAACTAATAGTTACCTTTAGTAATAATACTTTATGAACGCTCAAGAGTGAATTTGACAGACGTTTGACGTTATTATAGAACAGTTTATAAATAAATACACAAACTTTGCCTCGAGTCTTATGCAACAACGTCACAGGATCCTGACCTTGTGACACAAAATCAAGGAGAAAATAAAAGTGAAATAAAAAAAGAGTCACTGGTGTTAAGATTTGCCTCATTTAGACAGTGTCAAGAGAAACTCCCATGAAGAAAAAAAAGTAATTAGTGAGAAGAAAAATAACGGGATGAAAGCATCTAATTAAAGTGAAAAAGTAAAACTTGCTGCTAAAGCCTGAGTAGGATGTGAAGCTGTACACAAGTACCAGACCTGAAAAGTTCACACAAACAACATAAGGAAGAAATTAAACAAATTAATACATACATGCATGTATGAACAGCAGAGGCAGAGCTTAAGACTATAAATATGTAAGGTAATGTGTGACTGCAGTGGAGCAGACTTTATCTCCATAACAACCTGCAGGTATGTAAAGCTTCTAAAAGATAACGGTTTAACTTTGTGCCCGTTTGATCAGCAGGTTCCTACTAGTTCAGGAAAATTTGCCTAAAATCCACATTTATGACGTATTCAAAAAAGCCTCTACGTAAATGATTAAAATTTGAATGTTAGATTTTGACACAGAAAAATGTGAAGTGTTATTGAGACTGTTCGATATTGTTCAGATTGAACATGCTTTTATTTTATTGTATTATTATAAACGTCCGGCTGCAGATTACTACAGATCTGAGTTAACTGAAAACATTATCAGACCTCAGTTCATGGCCTACAACGTTCTAGTCTAACTTTTGGAATATTAAAATATAATACGTATGATGCAGCGTTCTGGCGAGGCGTGCTTTAAAACCAACTCCACTAACTGTGAGATTATTCTTTGTTGTCTGGACAAAACAAAGTGTGAAATTTAAGACATCGGTCAATCGTATCTTAACCCTGAAAACTCTAAAACTGTACATGACATTTGCACACAGGATGCACAGAGCAGCCAATTTAAGTTAAAGTGTAAATGTAATGACAAATGCAAACAATAAACCGTCCAGTTAATAACAGTTTTTCTTTACATTTATCAGTTTTAATTATACTTGCATACAGCTGGCTTAATGTAAATGCACAAGAAGGGAATATGCACATTCTTGCACAGCAAACTGGATGGATTTTGTCAGCCATGGACAGTTTTTCTTGATAAGACCTTGTGAAACTATCAGAGCATGTGATTAAGCTTATAGCCTGCTGGGCTAGCAGTGGGACAAAAGCTGGAATATTTAAAGATCATTCAGACGAAGAGTGAGCTGGAAACTTTTGAAACATTACAACCTGTGACAGATTTTTGCTACAGATTCTCTATTGAAAATGACGGCGTGTCTGTGTGTGACTGGCAAAAATCAAAATTGTACAAAAATCCTTGTGTCAGAAAACGGCAGTGCTGTCTGATCAGTTCATGCAAAGCTGGCTTCTACCGTTTTACTGGTGCCGTCTAAATTAAGTCTTGACAAAATATTATTGGTCTGTAAAGAGTGTTTGTGCATTAATGATGTACATTTGTAGATATGTGATATGTAAAAAAAATCAAAACGATGCAATGTAAATACAAAGTTCTAATGTATATTAGGTGCCGGAGGTGAGGAATTAAAAACATATGTGCGAGTGCATGTTGTCTTTACTGCATTCTGCAGTGCAGCTTGACAGGAAACCCACGAGGTAAAACACTGTACACTAACTGTACCTTGTATTATTACACGTCGTCACTGAGCTGCTGCAGTGTTTTCTCCTCAGGCCTGGGCTATTGATTAATGGACCTATCAGGCTCAGGGTGACTCAGCACTTTCAGGTCAGCCTTATGGATATTAAGCTTTATATAAACCCTGATGAAGAGGCACAAGAGAAGAAAAGGATGATGCTTTTTGAAAGCAGGAATGAATGCTTAAATAGTCAAGGAGACAATCAACTATGAGCTGACATAGCTGAGCTTACGTTTGCATCAACCAATAAAAACAGGAATAAATGTTAGAGATACAGATGTCCAAAAACATCCAAGACAAAAAAATATCAGAAAAATTATTTCTGCATACCAACTGCCATCTTGCACATCAGTTTAATCAAAAAGGTAAATATCTGTTAAAGCTTAAAGTATGTGTTGGGGACGAGTCACAGTTTCTGACGCACCAAATTTTAGTTTAATATCTGTAAAAACAACAGATTCATAGCCATTTTACCGTTGGCTGAAGCAAATTAGCCGAGGCAGTCGTCTTGAACAGGTTTGAGGTAAGGCGTTGTAAATGTACATTCAATATTTACTTCCTCTGAGTTTTAATAAAATTTGTTTACTAGTACATGAGATACATGGCCAACAGACACACGAACACAAATTTGTATTTCTGTTAAGACATTGGTTTGACCATCATTCATTTCTGTAGCCTAGACCCGACCATAAACCTCCAGTATCAGTACATCCCCTAACCTAAAATAAATTCGTACCCAAGTCCTAAACCTAACCAAAAAATCATGTTCTATTGTATTTGGAATGGGACTACTGGTCCTGACAAGGTCTGTGAACTCGGACTCTGTTCTACCAGTCTTTACTTCTTCTTACTCCCGTCTTTACTTCAGCGACATTGTTGGCTCGTCTGGTAATTAATGACAGGAATGTGAACGAGGAGCAAAGTACAGTTTTCATATCTTAAGCTAACAGCGAGGTATCTATGATGGGGTGATGACGTTCTGTTTTCCAAACTCCAGATTTGTTCTTTCTTGCATCATTCCAAGCTTCTGACATGTTGTACCCAAACTGTTCTTGTCGTCTCCACCCAAAACAGATCCCCTTGTTTTACAGTGACATACAAAAGCTGGAAGAATACATGAGGTCATAGCCGACAAAGTATTGGATGTCTCGGTCTACGGGACAAATGTAGAGGTGTGTACACAAGCACCTACAGGTCTGCAGCCTCAGGTGGATGTGCTTATAATGGGTATTGTTATATTAACAAAAGCCTGACAGGGGCTGAGTACTCCACTCCTAAATAATTTTCCTCAAATAAAAGATCTATTTATCGTGGCTAAGACTGCTCCCTGCAGCTAAATATTTACAGCATCATTTTATAATACATTTATGTTTTAAGAGAACACTTTTTTATGATTTGTACTTTAAAGTACATATTAGCTGTGTCTAAAGTCACTTTAAACTCACAAACTTTACATTTCATTTTACGCCGCATTCGGGCATCCGAGAAATTTAACTTTCAAATCTTTATTTCCACCCACTGATTGGGCTCGAACCTCTAAAGTCCACCGTCATGTTGCTCATATCTACGGTCGTGTTATCAAACGATGAACGAAGCTTTAAATGCAGAACAGTTTGGTTGTCAGCTTCACGACCACCATCACAACTTCATGGTTCATCTTGCTCGCTGCTTGGAACCGTCAAAACAGCTGCACCGCCCCGGCGAAACGCAGCTAATTTGACCATTAAAGTGCATTTATTAAGCAAAGGTTAGACCGAGACACCTTTGCTATAATTTCGAGCAAACAAATGTTTCTTTTAGGTGGTTATTTTGTTAAATTTTAAAGAAATGCAGCGGCTCGTCCATCTGCGCGTGCACACTTCGCAGCACCGAGGCAGCAAAACTATTTTTGAAATTCAGCTGATTTGACCATTAAAGTGCTTTTTTTTTTTTTTTAAATAGTTAAACACACCGTTATTATAATTTCTAGCAAACAAATAATTGTTTTTAAGTGTTAATCTTGTTAAATTCTTACTAAAGTCTTCCTGTGCACGCTCCCGCGGCCGTCATTTGACAGTCAATC